TGAACATGGTTCAGTGGCATGTTGCTTATAAACTGTCTTGGGCCTTGAGTAGTGTGCCCAAGAAGGAGCACTAGCACTCAGTTACTGACACCCCGTGATGCAGGACAACTTCTAATTTTTTAATCAAATACCTTTTCACAGTTTTATATGAAGTTAGCTGTAGTTTAAACCTTGCAGAAAAATGATGCTGGTTGCTGGATGGTCTAAGCTAGAGTGGGCTGAAAGAGAAATGGTGCGTTCCAGCATGTAACATACGACCAAGTAGCGATTGGTTAAAGCAGAAAACAAATATCCCAATGGATAGGTTCGTGGGGCCTCATTTATAAAACTGTGTGTGTAGGATCCTTAATAAAAGTGTATGTGTGGCCGAAAGGCAAAAATGGCATTCACAAAAATTTTTTTAGACTTATAAAACCGTTCGTACACCAGAACCTGCACAAAATTCACTTTATAAATCCCAGTCACCGGAAGATTGTGCGCACATGCTCCTCCCCGAAATAGCCATAAATGAGCTTACAACCCCTAGTTTTACTATGCATATCCTCCAAACCAGTTTCAAAACATGCTAGCCAAGATGTATTTTCTGTAGGGAAGACATCATATCAGATAACACAATCTAACTACCTCTCCAATCCTACCTTTCTCTGCCTTGTCCGTATTATCCCACGGTATGGGTGCACATCCCGATTGTTGTGGGGGCAATCTTTTGTTCTCACTGTACAACATAAGAGAAATGATAAATAATAATCCAAATGCAAATGTAGCCTTGGAAAATACTTAATACTTGAAAACCTCCTTATCTACAGTATGAACACTATCCATGCAATCCATATGGAAATTAATTAAAACAATAATATCAGGAATACCCGCACAACAATTAAATTAATACTTTGTGTTGATAATGTAAAAGATGACAGAATATCAGATGTCAGATTTCAGACCTCTCTTCCTCTGATTTTGCCTTTTCCCTATATAAACAAATAGACTTGGTTCAGTACAGCACAGATATTTGAAGCTTAAGCATATTCTTTCAAAGATAAAGAACATAAATAAAGCTGAAGAGCTTAAGACCTTGTCCAGTAGGAGGTTGTTCAGCCACAGCAACAGTCCCAGCCCCCTGGTCCACAGAAATTGTGGCTACTGAATCTGAAATGAGTGAAGAGATAGCATTGACTATCATCATAATATACATACAATTAGGTCATAACAGAGACCTGAAAAAAAAAGAGATTAAAGCGATACTACAGAGTACATCATCCCACCATAGCCTTGTTGTTTGAACTTCCCAAGTGCTGTTGGTAGGAAGAAGAACAAGAGAATTTGGTATAGCATAGACTACATAGCAAACCATCTGAGACCATGAGCTCTATGTTGTACCAAATTCTCTCGTTCTTGTTCCCACTGACAGCAGCATACAGTGAGCTCAAATAAAAGGACTATGGTTGGAAGAACTCAGGACAATGTAAAACCTTGTATTGTAGGAGGAGAGCTTAGCAACAATTCTGGACCACCCTCAGTCCCAGCCCCCTGGTCCAAAGTCATGCCACTTGTCAAATCTGAGGATGAGAATGAGTGAAAAGAAGATGTTGTCTCTCTAACGTGTATACACAGATTACATAACACACAGTACAATTAGGGTCTATATTCACAAAGAATCTTAGGGGTGAAAGCATCTCAATATTTTAGGAGAAGAAAAAAAATTGGGCTAATCCCTAATGAGGAAATTTTACCATCATTTAGGAATTATTTTGTGCTAAAATGAAATCTTTGTGAATTTTGTGAAAGAACATAAATAAAGCTGAAGAGCTTAAGACCTTGTCCAGTAGGAGGTTGATCAGCCACAGCAACAGTCCCCTGGTCCACGGATATTGTGGCTACTGAATCTGAGGATGAGTGACATGGTGACATTGTGTCTTATAAAAGTTTAAATAGGTGTAGTGAAAAGACATCTGCTGCTAATGTATATTTTCACAAAAATCTCAGAGAACACAATAAAGTGAAGGCACCAAATCAAGCCAAACGCACCTTGTTCTCTTAACCCTTATGTGCTGTTGTGGCTTTTTTCAGCCACTAAGGGGTATTTTTTAGTCTTAATTTGGCCGTAACTTTTTCTTTGTTTCAGCAAATGGAATGATTTTTGGTGACAAATCTTATTTTGACACATATTTTGGGAAAATGCTTTGAAATTTTTCAAAAACTCAACAGTACACTCTGGGCAAATTCACTACCCTTTCGTTATGTTCGTGGCTGAAAAAAGCCACTACTTTAAACTGCTGTAAAAATGTATCAGATAAATATTTTTTTCAAATTTTTTTGCATAAATCTATTAACCGACCTCAGTCCTGATCAAAACTACTAAATGTTTAAAAAAATTTCAGGATTTTAACTCTTTAATTGCCAAATTCATAAATGATGTCACTGATTTGGGAAAAAAAACACAGAAAATGACTTATTTTCAATATAAAATATGATTGTGGACTGGATTTTTTTTTACCTTTTATCACAGTCTTGGACATGTCAAAGATTAGAAACAACATTGGTTTTGATGCATTGTTAGTTTTTGTGTAGCATCAGATTTTAACTTTTTCTCCCTCATTAACTGTTCTTGGCTGTTTTTGCCCCATTGACTTCCATTATAACCACATTTTTTTGATTGCAAAGCCATGACCCCATATAATCATGCATTTTTGATGATTGGTGGTTTTCCCTGTTGGGAAGAGGTAAAATTTGTAATTTTTACTGTTGATAACCAGGTGGAACCATTTAACCCTTTAGACAGGCCTGTGCAAAAAAAAGCTTAGTTTCTGGCTTTTACATGCAGTTATATGGAGTATAATAGCATATTACAGTGTGTATATGTGTGTGTGGGTGTGCGTGAGTGTGTGAGAGAGTGTGAGAACTCACCTTGATGCGTCTGAGAAAATAAAAATATACACTTCAGCTCTCAAAACTACATGGAGTAAACAAAAACAAAGTAAGTGTATTTATGCATCAGCTGCCTTTTGATGGTGAGAAATGCAGACTAAACAAAAACAAAGCAAGTGGATATAAACGCTTGTCATTTGATGGTGAGAAGAGCAGCAAGCAACATGAGAGAGGGCTTGACTTGTAGTGAAGTTTTAGAGATGATTATGCAGTCTGACCCCTCCAGCGAGCTGCAGGAGGTATTGTCTTCTCACTCTGACCGCAGACTCAGGACAGTCAGATCCTGGTGTGGATGTGGCACCCTCATCATCATCTCAAGCTTCCACTGAAGGCGAGGAGGATTCAGATGATCCTGGATCTGGATGGACTGGGAGAATCTTGAGAGGGACATGGTGGCTCTGAAAATCGCATGACCACTGCGATCATCCCACAGGCAACGTGTGGACTCCCCTCTGGATCTGTAGACGCTGGCCAAAATCAGTAGCCCCATGTTGGCACAGAGATCTGTGGAGTCCACCCCAGTCCAGTTTCTCATTGTGCGGTGCCCATGGAGGTTGGTCATGCTGACAATGAGGTCAGTCGTCTCCTCCGTAAAAAACAGATTGAACACAGAATCCATGTTCTGAACCATTGCGATAGCATTGCGTGTCGGCCCTCGACTCACGCCTCTTGCAGGCTGAAGAAAGGGAATTGTCTCCGCATTGGTGGAAAACCATACTTCACCATTTCTCCGAATCCACCCAGATCCAGGATCCACAGAATCCTCCTGCTTTCAGTGGAAGCTAGAGCTCCACTGAAGGCGAGGAGGATTCAGAGGATCCTGGATCTGTGGACTCCACAGATCTCTGTGCATGGGGCTACTGATTTTGGCCAGCGTCTACAGATCCAGAGGGGAGTCCACACGTTGCCTGTGGGATGATCGCAGTGGTCATGCGATTTTCAGAACTACCATGTCCCTCTCAAGATTCTCCCAGTCCATCCAGATCCAGGATCATCTGAATCCTCCTCGCCTTCAGTGGAAGCTTGAGATGATGATGAGGGTGCCACATCCACACCAGGATCTGACTGTCCTGAGTCTGCGGTCAGAGTGAGAAGACAATACCTCCTGCAGCTCGCTGGAGGGGTCAGACTGCATAATCATCTCTAAAACTTCACTACAAGTCAAGCCCTCTCTCATGTTGCTTGCTGCTCTTCTCACCATCAAATGACAAGTGTTTATATCCACTTGCTTTGTTTTTGTTTAGTCTGCATTTCTCACCATCAAAAGGCAGCAGATGCATAAATACACTTACTTTGTTTTTGTTTACTCCATGTAGTTTTGAGAGCTGAAGTGTATATTTTTATTTTCTCAGACGCATCAAGGTGAGTTCTCACACTCTCTCACACACTCACGCACACCCACACACACATATACACACTGTAATATGCTATTATACTCCATATAACTGCATGTAAAAGCCAGAAACTAAGCTTTTTTTTGCACAGGCCTGTCTAAAGGGTTAAATGGTTCCACCTGGTTATCAACAGTAAAAATTACAAATTTTACCTCTTCCCAACAGGGAAAACCATAAACAATCAAAAATGCATGATTTTATGGTGTCATGGCTTTGCAATCAAAAAATGTGGTTATAATGGAAGTCAATGGGGCAAAAACAGCCACGAACAGTAAATGAGGGAGAAAAAGTTAAAATCTGATGCTACACAAAAACTAACAATGCATCAAAACCAATGTTGTTTCTAATCTTTGACATGTCCAAGACTGTGATGAAAGGTAAAAAAAAATCCAGTCCACAATCATATTTTATATTGAAAATAAGTCATTTTGTGTTTTTTTTCCCCCCAAATCAGTGACATCATTTATGAATTTGGCAATTAAAGAGTTAAAATCCTGAATTTTTTTAAAAAATTTTGTAGTTTTGATCAGGACTGAGGTCGGTTAATAGATTTATGCAAAAAAATTTGAAAAAAATATTTATCTGATACATTTTTACAGCAGTTTAAAGTAGTGGCTTTTTTCAGCCACGAACATAACGAAAGGGTAGTGAATTTGAACAATGCACAAGGGTTAATGGGTTCGTTATTTCAACATTTAGAATGACAGTAGCCTCCTCAGGCTCATGGCTACTGTCTGTTGCCTGTTCTGGATTCACTAGAAGAATACAAACACACACAAAAAATGTACTTTACGCAATTAGGTCAAAATGTGAAAGCTAAGGCAAAATAATACAAAATCCACAAGCCTCAGAGAAGCACAGTTGCCCTTACTATTTACAATCATTGAATGCTCAACACCATCTACTGAATGGTGAATAATAATAAATAATAATAATATTATTCAATAATTCAATTATTGAATTATTATTCAATAATAATGAATAATAATAATAATAAATAATAATATATAAAAAAATACATAAAGTTTATAGTATATAAAAATAGTTTTACCTTCGACCATCATTTTAAAAATTTCATAAATGTTCTGCACACATCTCTGTGCACCTTTGCTCAACAATTCATCTTTAGGTAAGATCATTTTGGCCTTCTTGTGTGGATATTCCACCAGGAGCAAAGGCTTCCAGCCAACTGCGTGCAGCTTCTCTATCTAAAGATAAAAACAAAACAAAAAACATTTAAAACATTTCAATTACAAGTGCTTTGGTGTGGCTGTGTATGGATCTTTGTCTGCTTATCACAATAGCACAAACCTGGGACACAAATGCATGTCAACAAGAAATATTTAGTGTAGAAGCAGACTTTTGGAACATCACAAGGAATAGCTGTATTCAAGATTTTGATCTTTAAGATGGTAAAACTGTTGAATAAATAGCTTCCATAAATATGTTAATGCATTATCTTGTCTCAGTCAAAACCAGAAAGTCTCCCCAGTACCCCAAAATAACTGGACTATGGTGACATAGAACAACAAAAGTTACTTACCAAAATGATGGCATCATCCCACAAATGTGAGGTCACCTGATTTTTTTTTGTGTTGGCAACCCATTTTTTTTTTTTTTGGTCGAATTTTTCAATCTTTTTGTTTAGGCGCACATTTTTAGGCTGTGGGGCCTTGCACATGGGGCACTTCTTGAAGCCATTAAAAATTTTATTTTTGCACGCTGGGCAGGTCTTCTTGAGCCCTCCACCTTTTGACATGTTTTGATGCTGTAAACCAGACAGGAGGCATAATGTCTGTCACAAACATGACTTCAACCAGGTTCAGTTATAATTAAGTTTTAGTAAGTTACTGGATTTACTCCAAACATCGAAATATCAGACTTTGATGACTAACTTATGGTTATGTTTGATGGACGCTTTTTTAGTAAGTAACAATAAAAAAACACAACTCAAAAACTACAAGATATAAAATACTACACTACTCCATAATACATTAATGTCTAGAACATCATACCTCAACAGCAACTACAACAAACAAAGAATATGTAATACCAATAGTTATTTGACATAGATATGGGTGTAAAGTTACAAAATATCTCACCCTGGCCTCACTGGGATCTTCAAAGACTGCTGGGTGGTTTTCCGACATGGTGCACAGATACAATAAAAAAATACAGACAATAGACAAACAGTACAAATATGAAGATGAGTGTGTGTGCGTGCGTGCGTGTGTGTTTGTGTGTGTGTGAGTGAGAGAGAGAGAGAGAGAGAGAGAGAGAGAGAGAGAGAGAGAGAGAGAGAGAGAGAGAGTGAGAGACTAGAGAGAAACAGAGTGAGAGAGAGATTGAAAGAGTGGCTCTTAAAAGTGCCTTTGTTTTCTTTATATAACTGAAATTAAGAAAGAGAAATGGAGATAAGATGTAAAACAGCAAATAATCTGTAGAACAGACAAGAAAGCATAATTAGATATATCTCTGAGAAAAAAAAATGCAATGCCTACATTAATGCGAGACACTAAAGGTGAATAGGGTAAAATTTTAAAAATAAATGAATCTATTACCATGATCACCATGAACCTTCCTCAGTTGATTAATTACACAAGTATATAAAAACAATGTATTATAAGTTTTTGAAATTTGTATGTTTAATTATGCAAAATAGGAAATATCCCATTAAATATGCGCAATTTTGCATATATATTTTCGGTAACAAATCTGAACACATGATAAATCCATGTGGAAAATTATTTTTTCATTTAGTTTACACAAGATGGAAAAAGAATATCAGATGGATTAACGTTAGGATAGGGCCTAACGTTAACGTTATATGCTTTCATCTCACTTTTCATCACAAAAAAAAAAATAATAATAATAAAAAATAAACGATTTTCACTATATTTCTCTGGTGTGCATGGTGCTACAGAGGATGATATGTTGGTAACGTTACTGGAGTATGACAAAAAATAATAATTTTGAGAAAACGTCTTTTAAATATTTGTAAAAATACATAGGCCTACTTTTTTTTTTTAGAGAAAAACAACTATTTACAGACACGATATCATGTCAAATATTTAGCAATCAACAATACAAGCGATCTAAAACGCATTAAAACTTATATTTCAACATTTATATTTAGTAAATAAGTAGCAGGTCTGAGATACATACCGATTGGTAGAGGGGATCCTCGCAATGACGGAAAAACCGCGAAAGTGCCGTGGGGTCGCCGTCATGGCAACACGTCCGATTTAACATTAATTTATTATAAGTCTTTATCATTTTTTTTAGTTGTCTGTATATGCCTATCTGTCTATTGAGTAAAGTAAAGTAAAAAAAAAAAAAAAAAGAAAAGAAAAGTAAATTAGTCCAAATATTATTGACACCAGGATGATGGATGGGGAGTTTGATTGATCGAGCCTGCCTCTATCCGTGTGTCCATCACGGATTCAGAATTTGACAATGTGGAAAACTGTTATACACAAAATGATCAGGGGGATAAGAAGTTCACAGTTTAATTAGACTAAATGCATCACAAACACGGACAACTTGAATAGCCTAGTGTCAAACTCAGCAATCGTCCAGTAAGGTGAAACAATCTGTGGCGACCACCGAATATTCCGTGGTACGGTCACGGAAGAAACCCGTGGTCCCATCACGGAAGAATCCGTGGTGCCATCACAGAATTTGTCAATAAGCAAAAGGCTATAACTGGTCAGGGGAGATAAAAAGTTCACAGTTTAATTAGACTAAATGCATCACAAACACGGACAACTTGAATAGCCTATAGTGTCAAACTCAGCAATCGTCCAGTAAAGGTGAAACAATCTGTGGCGACCACCGAATATTCCGTCGTACGGTCACGGAAGAAACCCGTGGGCCCATCACGGAAGAATCCGTGGTGCCGTCACAGAATTTGTCAAAAAGCAAAAGCCTATAGAAACTGGTCAGGGGGGATAAGGAGTTCACAGTTTAATTAGACTACATGCATCACAAACACGGACAACTTGAATAGCCATAGTGTCAAACTCAGCAATCGTCCAGTAAAGGTGAAACAATCTGTGGCGACCACCGAATATTCCGTGGTACGGTCACGGAAGAAACCCGTGGTGCCATCACAGAATTTGTCAATAAGCAAAAGGCTATACTGGTCAGGGGAGATAAAAAGTTCACAGTTTAATTAGACTAAATGCATCACAAACACGGACAACTTGAATAGCCTAGTGTCAAACTCAGCAATCGTCCAGTAAAGGTGAAACAATCTGTGGCGACCACCGAATATTCCGTGGTACGGTCACGGAAGAAACCCGTGGGCCCATCACGGAAAAATCCGTGGTGCCGTCACAGAATTTGTCAAAAAGCAAAAGCCTATAGAAACTGGTCAGGGGGGATAAGGAGTTCACAGTTTAATTAGACTATGCATCACAATCACGGACAACTGTAATTAGCCTAAAAAGTGTCAAAATCAGCAATACCTCGTCCAGTGAAAGTGAAACAATCTGTGGCGACCACCGGATATTCCGTGGTACGTTCACGGAAGAAACCCGTGGTCCCATTACGGAAGAATTCGTGGTGCCATCACAGAATTTGTCAATAAGCAAAAGGCTATAGAAACTGGTCAGGGGAGATAAAAAGTTCACAGTTTAATTAGACTACATGCATCACAAACCCAGACAGCTTGAATAGCCAACCTAAAGTATCAAAATTAGCAGCAATATCGTCCAGTTTAGGTGAAACGATCTGTGGCGACCACCGAATATTCCGTGGTGCGGTCACGGAATTCAGGGTGACCAGACGTTATCCTAGCGATCAAACGACGACAGAACAATGCAAAATCAAGTTAAAATGAAATATGTAAAGTAAAGTACTTTAAGTAAATTCAGAATATATCTTTCCAAATTATAAAACGACGTCGATTGGGGGAGCGCGCAGGTATTGTAAAAGCCCGTGTGTAGTCCACGGATGCTGCCTGTCATTGACTTACATAGGCATCAATTCCGTGGGCAAATCACGGATTTTTTTGCGAATCCGTGAAACTGCAACGGATTTTGAGTTAAGAGTCCGTGTTCATTTCACGGAATTCTGTGAGATCAGGTTGGAAGGACCGTTAACTGTCACTACGCTACCCAGAGCGTTGCCATGGATACAAACCATAGACTGTGATACAAACCGCGTACATAAGGAATGACGTCACTCGCTTAGGCGCATTTGATCCTATGATTTGATCGTCACTCGCTTGTTTCTCCAATGTTTTTTTTTTTTTTTTGTTATTTGTTCTGCATGTGCCATCAGTCTTAAGTGCAATAATTAGAACAATATTTTTCCTAAAATAAATTATTTTTAATAAAACCAGTCACCTTCTCCTGACCAACGTTTGACAGGTAACGTTAGGCTAAATGTTTAGGATACTTTTATTTGTCTTACCTGTGTTATTATCCACTTTCCAGCAATTTTTCATTCTTCACGTTTTCCTCGGCTGCATTCATCATTTGAAGTCGATGCATTCTTTTAGAGCTCCTGGGATTCAACCTCTTCGTGCATGTGGAATAGCCTTTATAAATTGTAGCTCATATTCAATTGAATCAATTGACATGTTTTTGATATTTAAATTATAACAGTTGAAAACAGACTCGTGGTATTATTACATCTTTAATTAGTGATTAGAATTTACATGAAGTAACATAAATTATCTTATTAAAACACTAACATTTTAGCATTAACTTAATTTTACAATCAATGCAAATATTTGCATTAATATTTTAGTTTAATTATTCGTGTCTGAGTTGTAAAGTTTCATTTGATGATAGCAAACATGGGCGACCTGATTTTGCAAGTGTTGTCATGGAAATGCGTGAGGGACGAAATAGGGACGTTCGCAAACTGGCCCGGAGAAATGTCCTCAGAACGTCCGTCAGCGAACGTTATAGAATGGACCAAATGCGAACGTCATCGGAATGTCCGCCAGCGAACGTTACAAAGCGGACCAAATGCGAACGTCATCGGAATGTCCGTCCGCGAACGTTACAAAGGGGACCAAATGCGAACGTCATCGGAATGTCCGTCCGCGACCGTTACAAAGGGGACCAAATGCGAACGTCATCGGAATGTCCGTCAGCGAACGTTACAAAGGGGACCAAGTGCGGACGTCCTCCGAACGTCCGCTAGGGAACGTTACAAAGCGGACCTATGCGGACCTAAGCGGACGTTTGAAAAGTCCGGGGGACGTCCCTTGTTTGCAGGGATTTAAAAAAGTGTTTAACATAAGTTACTTTGTCTTATTGTTTTTAATCAAATAATTGGGAACCACAAACGGAGCCTTCGTTTAGAGCGATTATATATTTTATTTGTTATAATATTGGGTAACGTTATATGTCACCAGATAGGCTAAATAGTTTGATTAGAATATGCAACTTTTTTATATTATTGTACTATTTTATTGTTGTTTTGTAATTAACAATATATCATCATAACTTATAGAGATCAAAATCTACAGAAGCGCTTAATGATCATTAATTGGAGACTGCGTGTTGTGAGACTAATCAATGCGGAAATTTCCCTGCCGACACAATTCTGAATGTTGGCTATGTTACAGATTTAATGTTGAGCAAATAATGTTCTTAAATACCATTGGTTGACG